GTAAGCGCGCTCTCTCAAGAACGAACATCAAAATATCTACTAATTACTAATCGTCGCAACTCTCGGCACCTCAACCGGAAACTCATGAATCTCGTCCATCCAAGGATTCTTCTCCTTACTCGGATCAATCCTCCTCAACGCTTTCCAAACTGCGCTATTACACTTGAATCCAGAACCGAACGCTATCTGCCACGTCCGATCACCCTTCCTAACCCTACCTTTCGCCTCAGTGTACGCCAGCTCGTACCACAACGAACTACTCGAAGTATTCCCAAACCTATACAAAGTCATCCTCGAAGGCTCCATATGCCACTCGCTCAACTCCAAATTCTTCTCGAGCTCGTCCAAAACCGCCCTTCCGCCGGCATGAATACAGAAATGCTCGAACGCGAGCTTGAAATCCGGAATGTAGGGTTTGATCTTCATCTTGAACACTTTCCTCGCGACAAGTGTCACGAAGAACAACAATTGCTCGGACATTGGGAGGACGAGTGGGCCGAGTGTCGTGATGTTGGTCTTGAGCGCTTCACCGGCCACGGCCATTAGGTCTTTTGAGAGGGAAACTCCGACTTTTTTGGAATCGTCTTCTTCTTGGAAGACGCACGAGTAGCTACGATCGTCCGCGCCTTTGTGGGTGCGTACGGTGTGGATGAGTTGGTATTTGGAGCGTTTTCGGTCGGAAGATTTGTTGGAGAGGAGAATGGCGGCGCCGCCCATGCGGAAGATGCAGTTCGAGACGAGCATCGATCGATTGTTTCCGAAGTACCAATTCAGGGTTATGTTCTCCATGCTCACGACTAAGGCATATGAATTGGGTTGAACCTGTGTAATTTTTTGGAAAATTTGATTAATATTTAATGATTTTGTGTGTCTTAATTAAGATTGATTTGTTGCAAAAAAAAAAAAAAATTAAGATTGATGATAGTTTAAGGCAACAAATGCAAAACATGGAGAATTGAAAAATATAATTAGTTGACAGTTGGAGAGTGTTTTTAAATGAAGGCAGTTCAATTGTTCACATGACTTTAATTAGGGCCCACATATCAAACCTTAGCTGGATGGATATATACTTTTTAATTCCTACTTAATAGCTGGATGGATATATCTACTTGTCTAGAGTCTATTTTTGGTTCATTAACTTATTCTTTATAAAAAAATAGTAAGTTATGTTGCAATTCGTATCATTTTTGAGACATTACTCATCAAAAAACAGTACGCTTTATTGCAATTTGTATCATTTTTTACGACATTAATTCCAAAAAATAATGAACCATTTTCAGGATAATGTCCTAACAGTGATCCAAATTGCAACATCACGTACTGTTAATGTGCCAAAAAAGAACTTTAGACAATTAAACAGGTTTTGAATTTTTGCCTATATATACTCGAGTAATTATTGAATTCAATTAATTGTAGGTTGGTTATCAATGATTAATAAAAACACACATATAGTAAA